TCCTGGTAGCTAAGATATTTACGCAGAGACGGCTTATCAGCGACAATAGACACACTGCTCGGTAGTTGGTCAAATCACCTCTCGAGCCCTTCTTAAACAACGACACTACTCAGCCGATCGTAGCCTCTTCTTCACATTAATGATAGTTTTCTTCGAGGTGCTTCTTCGAGGACAATGTTGAAAAATCGCCTTTTCGTGTCATTGTTCATGACTTTCAGCGCAATGACTTTACTCTTTCACTTACAGGTGCTCCGCTTTTCATTTGCTTGAGTTCTACTAAGAATTCTGGGAATGTTACCTCCTGGTCTAGCTGCTGGCTTTAGCGCCTCGACAGGGGATCGTCTCTTACGGTGCACTCATTTGCCGTTATCATAAGTTCTTCGATCTTCCTTTCGAACCTATTCTCTGACTCTGCCTTGAAGTGGTTTCTGAGTTCTTTGAGAAAGAACTTTTCTTCCTCGATGGTTTTCTTATCTCTGCAGCCACTATTGCGTAACTTCTCTTGTCCGATTATGCTTTCCAGTCTCTTCCAATCAGAATCATTTCGTCTCTTCATATGCGTGCCATAACAATTTCTAACGGTTTCCTATTTTGTTCGATTTTGCGCTAATAATCGGTTGGTATACGGCAGTCAGTTGTACGTTGTTAACGGTTATCATCAAAACCCGACCGTCGCTCCACAGTTTTTGGCTTTCACTTGCTCTTGCGACGCTTCAGCCCATTCTCCTATTTTATGATGGTTGTTCATAACCGCTCATAAGCAATTTCTTTTCGCTCCACCAGATGCCTTCTTTTCTGGCAGTAACTTCAGATATCAGCCCGATTTCCCGTTCTTTTTTGCAATTGGAGGCAAAGTAAGTCGGATTTTTTCTCGTTCATTCGTTCATCTATTTGTATCTTTCAGTTTCTGATGCTCCATCTTGCTGTCTTCGTTCCCAGTTTTACGCATTCTCGTTGTTGCGTCACCTTGTGTCATCTCTCCTTTTTTTTGTTGCTCGCTTTTGTCTAAAGTGTCTTTGCTCGATTGTTTTTTTTTCTTGTTTGCCAGTTTCGGCAATATTTTATCTCTTATTTTCTGTCTTCCTCCTTTTTTCAGTTGTTTCTTGTGTTTTGATCGAAATAATGGATCAAAATAAGAATAAACGCTTTATTGGAAAATGTCCAATCCTGGATTCGAATGTTTGGTTTCTAGCCTTCGTTCTTGTGGTTTACTCGTCTCCATACTGGTATTTCCATTAAACTAACTTCCTCAATAAAGGGCGCGTGCATTTGCCTTCAGTTTATTTATTGAGGAGCGTGACTCGGCTAGGACCAGGCTCCTCCTTTCCCTTACGGGTAATCTGGTTGTTTTTGCTCTTGCGTTGATTGACCCTTCTTTCTTTTTGAGGCAATGTCTTTTTTGCTGTAACATTCTCCACCACTTGTAGCTAAGACATCTGGGGTAGTGGATTTTAATTGATCAATATCGTCATCATCATGGAAAGTGGTTTTTCAGCGTCACCCTGTTATCTACTGGAAGAAGATACTTTCAACTGCTTGACTTCAGATGTTTCTGCTTTAACCTACGGTCTACTATTTTCGGGTGCAGTCCAATTTTTCTTATAAACCTGGTTTAGCCAAAAAAAATCTTAAAAGGCCGTTGTAGAAAGGATTATGATTATTATCTTTGAAGGTCATTTTTCACTGTTTTCTTACACATGCAAGTTTGCACAGTTCCAAAATTTTATCGACAATTGCTTAAAATATCATCATTTAATGTCAAATTCATTTATTTGCAAAACCCTGTCACAGCTGCAAGACCGTTAGCGGCCATTGCAAAGGTAAAATCTTTAAATTCCAATATTGACACAAGTTGTTCGCCTAAAATATTGGAAAGATAACGAGACTTAAAGCATGCAAAACAAACCTGGAAATTGCATCATTGAAGATCAGTGCTGATTTCAACGGTTTGCACAAAATTGGCACGGATAGACAACATTCAGTTTTTTAAATTTACTACAATCTTTTGCATTGCTTTCAGAAATAAACAGAATAAAATGATACTTTTTGTAGCTTATGCTGTTCTCGTTGTGCGGAAAACAAATTCGTCAAGATCTGGATTTTAACTTCAAAAAAATTTTCGACCGAAAATACCGATTGTACTGGTGCTAGTTTTTACCCTGGTAATGAGCCAGGGTTTTGGAACTGGGTACATGACTTTTGCTGAAAATAATTTCGTTCACAGAGAGATTGAAATTAATTGTAGCCGCCATCTGCTCTTTTTTCAAAAATCAACTAACAGACAATTTTTGGGCATGTCTGAATTTTAAGAGGCCGTTTTTTTTCAATGCGCTTTGCAAGTTTACCAACTCTAATTTCAGTATATCAGTTTTTTCGTTTTTTTTTCTTTTTTTTTACAAGCTTAAACTGTTTTGGCTTATAATCTGTCGGCTTAGCAGCCTCTTTTTGAGTCGCTCGATGAGCAAAAAATTTTTTACCCAACTTTTTTGAGTGGCGATTTGAAAAAAAAAACGCTTTGTAGATTTTGTTTTGACGCTTATTGACGTTCAATAGTCTTTCTTTGCCTTTATTCTTGAAATTATTTTTATTCAAGAGAAAGATATGTAAATTGCCGATGGATCATTTTTTCGATATTTTTCAAAAACTGCTCATGTCGTTTAAGGTTTTTTCTCAATTGATCTCTTTTTAGTCGTGTTTTCGAAAATCAAACAAATCAAAAAATATCAACAAAAATCTGAAAATCAAGAAATATCAACTATAACCGGCCAGTAATTGCTTTAAGCAGCCGCAGCAAAGTGATAGAAAACTTTTGAAAATATGACTTGCTCCATGATAGTCAGATTGGATTTTGCAACGGTCGCAATTTTTTTTACCGCTTTTGCTAAATATTGATAAAATAGTCAGGCAAATCGTTTTGTAAGCTAAAAAATTCATTTCAAAAAAGTACTAAAAAATTATTCTACAGAAAATAGAATAATGCGGACGTAGTGTTTATTAAATATGGTTCTTATTTGTGTGTCAGTCATCAATGCGTACAAGTAATTCACCGAAGTTTTATTTGGTTGCCGATAAAATGGCTCCCTTTTTTTATCGGCTCTTCGGTTTTATGTACTGGTCTCAATTATCTGCATTTCCGCTTCTCACACAAATGCTTTTCTTTTTGATGATGATTTTAATGTGGATTGAAATTGCGCACTCTCACTTGCAAGTTTTGCTCAAATTCAAAAAGATTTTTAAACTTATTTCAAACGGTCATGTGCAAATAAGTTAGGGCTTTACTCAGAAAAAAAACAAAGTTAATATAAATTTATATGAATTGGAAGTGCTTCTGGTCATCTCTTTCTTCTACCTGATGTTATATGTGAACCTAAGCCTTCTTGAAAATTACATGGGTTTGGTGCCAGATAAGTTGTCATTAGTAAATCACGTAAATTTAATCCTGTTTCAATATCCTTTTTTCAAAGTAAACTTCATCATTCGAATATGAAACGGATGAAACAATACAGTTTTTAAGGTTTTAAACTATCCATGTTGAAACAATCCTCAGGGATTCGACCCCCTGCCGACCCAAAGGGTCCCCCCTTTGGTACTTTTTATAAAATCAATTTTTTGCCGACCGACCCTAAAATGTTTCTAAAGGCGCCTTTGGCGCGAATATATACTAACTTTGAGGGGGAGCGCGCGCCAAAAAAACGCGATTTTTTTGTCAAAATTTTTCAAAAAGTGCCTAAGAACGGCTTTTTTGACCTGTTTTTTCAAAAATTTGCCTGCGGCGCAGAAAATTTGGCCAAAACAGGGACCTTTTAGTGCTTTAGAAGAGCTCGAAAAATCAATTTGGTCGAGCTAAAAAAAAAAAGGTCGTCAAAATTTTCGAAAATTTTTTGAAAATCCGCCCCCCCCCCCTCGAAAAAATCTAGATCCGCCCCTGATGTTGAATCATTTTTTTCAGTGAAAAACGATTCAAATGATTTTTATCAAACGGATGTGTGATAATAGTACTCATCAAAATATTTTCATACAAACTTTATCGGCACGTGAACTTCATGCTTGCGATTTAATGAAGTCTGCGTCTGATCCTTGAGACATAGATATCCTGTTTTTTCCTCAACTTACTGCTGTTTTGTGGAAATTTCGTTTATTGGCAAGACAATCAAAGTATTAAACGTTTGATGCTATTTATAGTAATAATAAACCAAAAATTTTTTCACTAATAAAAAGAAGCCCAAAACTACTGAATTAATGGTCCGAAGTTTTTTGTTGTCCGAAAGCATTGGTGAAAAGACAAGAAATTTAAAAAAAGAATACCTACCCTTGTAAATGAATAATTCGGCAGTCAAGCATATGCAAGTGATTAACCAACTGACGAATTTTGGGCATCTTGCAAAAAAGGGATCGTTCAAGAGATCCCATAGCGCTGCTGATTACAGTTTTCGCTACCCTACCTTCGCTTTTAGGAGAATAATACGTCATCAGTTAATGGAATGTACTTTTCAATTACTTTTGAATTTTTTTTTGATTAAATTTATCCTGGTTGGACTATGTTGGACATTCATTTGCATTGCATTGAGTTCACTGAATCAAATAGGAAAATGATTATATTCTCTGTCAGTTCGTAATCAATTTCCATCCGTGGTCGAAAATGCACACATGATTATATCATTTCCCTTGACTAAAAACTCTTCCCAGAGAACCAACTGCTCGCTGAGTGCGTCGTTAATTTATAGGGTTTATGCCTTTTTTATGTAGTTGAATGAGTTTTCAAAAGATTTTATTATTTTATTTGATATGAGACGAAATATTTTAGCTAAAAAAGATCAAAGTTGAATATTTCAGCAAATGCAATTTACAATTTATATTTTCTCTCCGTCTTTTAGTGTAGTTGATATTCTATCTTCTGAAATATACTTGTCATTAAACGAATGGCGCCTTAGAGATTTAACACTATTTGTTCATTTTATGAGCGAGCTTTTAGTCTCTTCGCATAGTTTTTTTCTACATTATTTTTGTTGCAAGCGGGAATAGCTTAGAAACATTTTTAGTCATAAATTGAACTCCTAATCCCCTCCCTAAGATATAGGCTCTCAAGAGGTCAGCCATTTGTTCAGAAATTTCCACTTATAATTCCTTTTCTTTCCCCAATTTGTCAATTTTTTATTCTTTTTTTCCAAGGCTTATTTAATGTGCTGTGTTTCTTTATTCGAAAATGGACATACAATATCCCGTGATCGTATATAACCCAGCATCCGGAAAATTGGCAGATAAACATTTCATTGACGGGAACAAATAATACCCAATCTGATAAGACAAAAGGTTGCTGCCCCCACAGGTATTTTTTGGCATTATGCGTAAAAATCAGCAGCTTCTTTTTAGCGTCTATCAATACAGGATTGATACTGGCCTCAATAAAAATCGAGTTTTGTGAGTTGTTGAATGGAATGTATATTGAAGTAATATACTATGAGCTCCTGTAAATTTCGACCCGGATTTTCAAATAAAATAGGCCTCTGACCAAACATATAGTTTCCTCTTTATTCTTTTGTCTTTTGAAAATCATTGCACTGTTGTATTGGGAATGAATGGTATTACTACTACAGAACATATATGGTACAGTTTCACTTACACTTGGCTGATTTCACTCTGATTTTCACGTTATCCTTGCACTGTGTTTTATAGCGACATTGGTCCGGTTTGCCGTTCGCAAATCCCTCTCTCTATTCGTGTCCTATCTTCTTATTACGCTACCTTACTCCAGTGCGTCTTTCCATTTATCCAAATATCCCCCTGTAAATTTGAAGTGCGCCTCAGTTCTTTGAGTTGACATAGTTCGTCTGCTTGCTTGGTTCGCTTGGCTTTGCAGCTAGAGAAACTCCCTCTATTTGCTGTTTTTACCCTATCCTATATTTATATTTACCCGAAATAACCTAAAATTGGAACCTAAGAACCCTTCCAGTGACAGAACCACAGAAAACACTCGCCGCCGCAAATCTTTCTATTTCTATGAAACTTTATCTATGAAAAATTATCTTTTTAAATTGATTCAGGCTAGTTTATTGTCAGAAAAAGTTTTGAAACCTACTGCAATAAATTTTTTGAGAAAGTTTTTCGGCATTGCTGGAGCTGTTTCTGTTGAACATCAACACAGGTTTGCATTAGCTTTATTACTCTTCTAAATCCTTTCCCTTCGGCACAGAAGAGTGAATTTCAACTGGGCAAACAGTCTCAATTTGTTCTTCTTAATTTGTTCTGACTATCAGAAGCTGAAGATCCCATCGCAACTCAAATCCAACTAAGAAGATTTACGATTTAAATACTTTCCGAGTCGGAGACGTGTCTTCACTTGAGAAATTTAGTTCAAAGTTTATTTCACTTCAGTTTCAAATTGAGTTTCAATTGAGACTTCTTCAAATTTGTACCAATTTAAAATTTGCAACCGACTTTTATCGAGAATTGGAGAAGCCTGCTAATGATCACGTAAGTTTTATCTTTCCTCCAACATTTTTCAGGGATAGTTTAATAATGCTTCTATATCTGCAGTAAGCAAGGGTATTATCCTTGCGAAAAATATTTAACGCCATTAACTTAAAACAAAAGTAGTGCAAATTGAACAGACGGTAAGTTTTCGTACATGTGTAGCTTCAAATAATGAAAATTAAGTTATGTGGGTCTTATCAGTTAGATAGTCCGTAAGGCCGACTGGACTTGAAGCCGAATTTTAAAGAATTCAAGTTAATGCAAAAATAAGACTCTGATCTACTATTTGTGCCGTTTTTTAATTTTTGGTCATCTAAAACAGCTTTGGTCTAATAAACCGAAATCGGAAAAAGTTGAAATTTTTTATTAACCACCTTTTGAAAAGAATCAATTATGAACAGAAAAAAATCCCGCTTTAGAATATTTTATTCACACTGGCAAGAGCAAATGTCTTGTAATCGGGAGCTTAGCACTTTTTCTAAAAATCTATGAAAAATTGAGAACTTGCTGATTTGGAATAGAGCTAGCTGGATGATTCACAAGTCTGGTGCAAGTCCCGACTGGATTTTTTTGTTATATACGTATTTAGTAGCTCTGTACTTTTTTGTCGGCTTAGTTTTTGTTCTTTTTTCTCCAAACGATCAAGTGATATTGCCATAGATGTTATGTTTTGATTTCTAACCATTGTATATAAAACGATCGATTTTTTTGCCGATGAATTTTTGGCTTGCTGCTTTTTTTGTCGACTAAGATCTGTCATTTCAGTTTTCGAAGATAACTTTCATTTATGTGAGAGTATAGGCTTATTCAATGAGGTATTTAGGAGCATTTAAGTCGATGAGCATTCAGCGATGAGCATAAGTATAGATGAGCATTCAGCGCTTTTAGTGCAAATTGTTCCTTCTAATTTTTCAATTTGTTCTCGAATTAAATTTTGAAATAGATTTCTCGTAGAAATAAGACTGTCGGTTTAGTTCCCTTATTTTGTCAGATTTCTTCTCAGGTTTCAATTGTTACAGATGAGCTCAGTTCAACTATTAAAAATTGTTCAATTAAGTTCATTTTTTATGTATTTTTTTAAGGCAAGATGTTTAGCATAACTGAGACTTTTCTCATCTACTGGTGTTCTTTGTGGTTAATGTAACCTTGCTGTTAAAGTCTTGAGAGGTTTCAAAAAGTTTTCAGTTAAGACGAAAAGGATCAAGTTAACATTCTCCCCCCAAATAGACCAAGTTAAGATCCTCTACCCCAGTGTTCAATATAAATTAAATTTGCAAGCGCTGCGTGTGAAAAGCTCAATTTTGATTGGCTGAAAATTCCCATTTAGAACCAAGTTAACATCCTCCCCCGAAACGTGTTTTGTGGGAGGATGTTAACTTGGTTCAACGAAAAATTTTTTTTTGAATATTTCATAGATACTAATTGTCCACCGACTTTTCAACTACTCTAAAACAACTCAATTAACGAAACAACAAAGAGAAAAATTCAAATTTCTTACATCAAAAAAAGAAGGCATGGTCGGGACTTGAATCCCAGATTTCAGGAACCCAAGACACATGCTTAATCAAGTCAGCCTGGAACGCACTGATTTGTAGGAAATGTTACTGATTCTTACTGATTTGTAAGAAATGTTGTTTAATGGAAAAAATCTAGTTCCCTAATTCAAGTACATTTGCTCTCACAGGTGAAGAAAAACTTTAAAGCTAAACTTTAAAAGAATGATCATTTTGATCTTTTTATGCTACCTTAGTTTGGGTTGATTTAAGTTTTTCTTTGCCTAAGAGAGCAAGTATACTTGAATTAGGAAACTAGATTTTTACCAATCAAAAAAATCTGTAAGAAATTGACTTGCTTTAATATGAAATCTCAGTAAATTTCAGGCCCCTTCTAACTTGGTGAAGTGTGTGTGTGTGAAGTCTGGGTTTCACGTCACGACCTTGCCTTCTCTTTTATGTATGAACATTGCAATCTTTTCGTTGTTGTATTGTTCACTGAGTTGTTTTGGAGTTGTTGAAAAGTCGGTCAAAAGTAAGTATCAATGAGATGTTAAAAAAACTAGTTTTTTTTGGGCTAAATTCGTAAGCTAAATGAAATTTGACGAAATGACGAATCTTTTTTTGTAACTTCGTGTGCTTCTGTTTTGCGCAAAATACTTATCTAACCTAGTAAAAACTATGCCGTTCAAATTGAATTAAGTTTTTTACATCGTTTTCTTGGTCCCAAAATGCATTTTCATATCACCAGTGCAAGCTTTTTCGAGTTATTCGTATTGTTTTTGTTTGTTTAATCAGTTTAAATTATCAGTTTAAAAAGATTTTTTCATAAATGAGTTTTTTTGCAGCATTGTAAATGTTTATTTTTATCGAAAATGGTGCTAGGTTGTGTTCTTTACTGTGTGATGTTCAAAATGTTTTTTTTTGCTATTTGTTTTCATATGGTCTATAAAAAAATAAAGGCAAAATGTGTTTTGCAAAAACTCTACGGCCATGCCTTCCATTTCCTACTGATGGTGATTTAAAAAAAATGAAAAACGAGGAAAGTAGCAGAATACAGGCGTATGCTTAAATTCGATAACCGTTTAATATTTTTGGTAGCATCGAATGTAGTTCCCCTCAACTAGGGCGGGAAAAACCATCGATCTTGAAAACTATTGATCTTTTTTTTCAGGTCGACCTTATATGATTTCGAATCTCTTCTCCAAAAGTTTGTTGCGTATCAGACAAATTTTAGTTAAAAAATGTGCTTCTAAGAACATATTTGGGCATTTTGGAATAAATTAAGTCTTTGCGTTCCCCCATTACTCAAGAAAGATGTATGATCGCCATTTTCAATATATGTCTAAGAAAACAAGGATAGCCGGTTGAAAGCTAAGGAGTTTAAAGAAAGAATTCAGAAAAAAAACAAGAAGTTCAATTTATCCAGTAAACTGCGCTTAAAACTGCAACAATTAGGTTATAGTAGCAAAATATTTTTTTACAATTAAGTTCAATTGTACAGTACCTTTTTCTGTCATTTGTAAATTACGTACAATTTAGACTGAAAAAAAGCTCTTGATTTTTTTAAGAATCCGAATCACGGCTGAAAAGATTTAAACACGATACCACACTTGACTCCATACGAGCTTTCCTTGAGATGGTAAAATCGCTACGCTATAGTTTCTTCTCATCCTTTGGGGGTTGGTCGGAACAATACAAACTTTGGGATTTATAAATGTGAGTTAAGTTGAATAAAACTTTTTGCCTGCTTTTTTCTAAACAAAGTGGCTTATTACTTTGATTCTATTCAGGTTGGATTAATGCTGAGGGTAAACACAATTACAATGGCTTTTTCTGCTTTGAAGGCAAATGGTGGAATTCCTAAATATAGCATTTTTGATGCTTATTTCTTACTGCGATGAGCGAAATTGAGCTAAAAATGAGTGTTTTCACTTAACTTTTTGCTTCTTTTTACCCAATCTCTAGTTTGTTTTTATTTATTTAATCTGTACCTTTTTAGTTTTATGCCTTTTTGAGGTGAACCAGAATTCGATATAATCTCTTGGGTATGGAACAAATTGGTCTCGGAATTAATCAATTTAATCGAAGACGCCTCCAAACAAAAGAAGAACCCATATTGTAGAAGTAGTACGTATCCCAAAATAGTTCAAAATAATGCAGTTAAAATGGATCTATTTTAATCGCGAATCAGCCTTTTCATAAACTTATCCTTTCCTAAATGTCTGCAATAGACGTGAATGACTATTTGAAAAGAATGGAGCTGTTTTTAGAACAAGTATCTGGAAAATCAATGGCAGAATAGAATGTGTTACATTTTAAACTGAATTTATATAGCGAATTGAATTTGATCAAACGATTTATCAAAAATATGCGTAAATTTTATTGTTCGCTATTTATGTTTGCAATTTAATCTATTCATGATTAAGAAGTATGCAGTTTGTAAGTTAAAAGAAACATTAGAACAGAGTATAGAGAACATTTTTGTCCCTGATTTTGAAAACTTTCTCGTTTTTTTTTGGATGGTTTTTAGATCACCACTGGAAAAAGTATCGCATTTCTTCTTCCTCTCTGTTCGCTTCTGCGTCTAGTTCGTCGTCGTGCTGGTCTGTGTCCAGAGGCTGGGAGCGGAACACAAGTTTCTTGCCCACCTGTTTCTTCGGCTCCTCATTCGCCCTCTGAAGTGCCTTCCTTGTTCTCTCCTCTTGATGCTTCCTAAACAGATAATACACCAATATTACCAACCGGTTTATAAGAGCAAATCCTTAATTTTATTTAACTCATAAATAACTTCAAAATATTAGTAATGATATTAAGAGTAACCGGCCCATTTGAAAGTATGCAAGCATAGCATAAAATAGACGACAACAAAATTCTTTTCAAATACCTAACACAGTAAGGGCACACGAGCGTTTATTGGCTGCGCACAAAATTAATCCGTGATTCGGCGCTGGGTTGCAACAGAGACGAACAGGTGCCCCAAGTCTCCTCAAATAACTGGCTTAGTCAAATGATCATCCAGGATGTTAATGGTGAAGGCGAAACTTTCGCGGTTGTGATTAACTTGTGGTTATTATCAGGGACAATCAATTAGTTTTGTTTACGCTTTCTAGTTAAGTCAGTCAGTATTACGAGGAAAAAAAGGGCCAACATAAAACAAGCTGTTGAGCTCTTAACGCAGGCAGATCAGTTGTTGGGCATTCGCTTAAGAACATTACATGCCACTTTTGGTTGTTTTTCAGGGGTTGAGTAATTCTGTCAGAATCTCAATTATTGAGCGCGGATCTTGGTTGGCCTCGAACCACCGACTTATCGATTGAGAGGCAGCTACTAGACTTAGCCAATTCACAATTGCTTCCCATTTAATCTATCGTCAAAGAGTCTTTGAAGGGGGGGGGGTGGGTGCGCTTGAGGGAGTCATAGAAAGGGGGAGTGTGTGTACCTGTCCCTCTCGAGTTTCATCTCTCTCGCCTTCTTCCGCCGCTCCTGTTCCTTGTCCTTCTCAGCCGCGGCCACCTTGTCTGCCGGCATCGTCTCTATCTGCTGGAACAACTCCTCCAGTCTATTCTCAATAGCTGTCAACATCGCCAGTGTACTCAGATTTGCCTCGTTCTCACCTGAAACATACAAACATTCAAGCAGCCTGTTTTTTTTTCAGATTGGCAAGGTTAATTGTTTTGACTGATTTTCAGATTGGAAACAAAAAACAAATAAATGATTCAAGGGACTTTTTTCAGATAGAGTTTAATTTGTTTCAGCCTCTTTCGTGATCTGATTTTTTAGTCACTTTTCAAGCAACGAGACGTTATTTCAGCGTCGGTGGCTTGATTTTTTGTTAGAGAAAACTTGCCAAAATAATCTTCGATGTCAGAAAGTTTTGCAACAAGTGTCAAAAGTTTTTGACACTCTTTGAATAGGTAGTCTGAATAATTGATTTTTCTTTCCGAATTTAGTGTGTAGATCGCTGAAGGCGCCTTCAGAAATATTTAAGATCGGTCAACCGAAAATGGGTGCTTAAAACTAGCATCAAAGAGAAGACCCTATAGGTGCTACTTGGGTCGAATTCATAAGGGACATTAATTATCATTCAAAAACTCTAATTGAATCAAATTTTGGCGAATTGTTCATCAGCAATTTTAGCGTCGTGATTTTGAAAACGCCGTGATTGATCCTGGTTATACAATGACTAAATCTTTCTCATTTTACAATCTATTTAAGCAGCCAGAGGCTTGAACAGGACGAAAATATTTATTAATATTTATCCAAGCTATGCTTTACTTAAAGAGCTCGCCTTACAAATCATTCGCGAAACAGAATTCTGGTTCATTTTTTGCCCGAAAACTGCTCGGGGTTTTGTGCTTTGACAATGCAGTTGAATTTGAAGAAATGCTTTCCAGGTTTCAGTTTGAGCCACTTTTAGACAATCAAAATTGCTTGGCTTAAAATCAATTCAAGTTTCTATGCTTCTAAGGCAAACTGAGTCTAGATGTTAGACTACACCTGGGACGGAAAAATTTCTAGGTTAAATTTTGGCCTGGACCTGTTTTTTTTTAAAGCGGCAATTATTCATTTTCGAAGAAATTGTCGGCTGTTTTCACTGTTCTTAAATCTTTTCGCCTTAGTTGGAACATAGGAACATCAAAAACACTTACATGATTGTGAGTGTTTTTGATTTGTAACTGTAATCAGCTCTTTTGTAATTTCGTAATCAGCTCTTTTATAGACTTGTTATCTGAAAATTCGCTCTTATGTTCTTTTCTTTTTAAAAATTTTGTTTTGCTTTAAAGCTTTAATTGTTACACCACGGTTTTAGATTGTGAATTTAGGCAGAAAACATGGCACTTCCAACTTTGCAAAGTTTGGAAGCATTCATAGCTAGGTCCTTTGTATATTTTATAGTTTTTATTCACGTAATTTAAAAAAAATGCTTAGCTAGATATGTTAATTGAAGCTCTTAGTGCTAAACTTTTAAAGCCTTCCATACGATGCGAAGTTCTTTTTTGGTGCGCTGATTAGTAGGAATCCTTGAGTTTGTCGAGGAACTTATTGTTTTTCTAAAGGTATACTTAAGTTCATTTGTCAGAAGCAACTTTAGCTGCAGTTGACCGCCAAGTTCTAATTTACTTGACCATAAAAATTCTTTCTTCTTCAAATGTAATTAATTCATGTGATGTGGTGGTCCTATTGGTGGGTCTTCGCATTATAGCCCCTCAGTCTAGTAACAAAACTAGCCCCCTTACTATAAAGTTTTATTATTATAAGGAGAGCTAACTACATAAGAACACATAAATTAACAATACGATGATGCATTTAATGCTGATATATGACTTCGTTCATACAATGATACAGTTTGCTGATAAATATGCATAGCTTGTGCACTGACCGATTGTAAGGGGGGTATATTTGCTGGTGGGCCTATAATGACAAAGACACTATTTTGCTTACCAATGCAGTGCCTGTATACAGTCTCGACCTTCTTGTTCAAGTCCACCAGCAGACTCTCCTGGTCCTCCTCCTTCATAGCATCCCCACTGGAGAACATTCTGGCTCTCAGTTCCAGGTCCCTCGCCTTTTCCTCCTCTTCCTCTATCGCGACGTTTAACTCGTCTATTTGCTTCTTCAGAGCATCCGTCTCGCTGTTCATTTTCGCCATCGTCTACAAAAAAACTGTTTTTGGCGTTTTTTTTAATTATAGACACTCCCGGTCAAATATAGCCCCTCATAATAAAAAAACTTCTGTTGTCGAGCTGTCGAGCCGCTTTTTTTTCTGTTACCAGACTTCGGTGCTATAATGAGAAAGAGCCCTTTTATTAATTATTAGCTCCAAAAACGTCTGATAATTGTCGAGAAAAAACAATTGAATGATTTGAAAACAGCATGGAGTTTTGTAAATTTAAAATTTGTCTACTGAGGACTCTCAATGTTCATTTTGGGCTCCTGTTAAGTAATTCAGGATAATACCTAGGCGAAAAAGTCCTTTTTTATTTTTGACTGGTTACCAACTTTTTAGGCTCGTAAATGACTCGACATAGCTCTTTGATAAAATTCTGAAGTAACTATTTAGAAATATTAGCTATTATTAGCAACGGACTGAACCTTTCATAATATACCTAATTATTAATTCATCATATTAATATTTAATTGAAATAATAAATAATTGAGAATCAAAAAACTTCTGAAATTGAGAAACGATTCTTCAGTTATCTCAAGCATCTAATCAGCTTTCAAAAATAGTAATGACAGAATAGATGAAGCAAAACATACTTGAGCTAATTGTTGTTTCATCTCCTCTAATGACTCTTCCGTCTCTTGCGAGTTCTGAATCAAAGTCAAATTCTGTTCCTCAAGCTCTCCAAAAATATTTAACAACTGTTGGGGCGAAGTGAAGTAAAGCTTCACGTCTTCCGAGTTCGAATTCGCCTCTAGCCACTCTTTAGGTGTTAATTTGTCGAGAAATGTTTTGTACAGAGTGTATTCTTTGAGGGTTTCCTCTTGCTTTGAAATTTCGCTCCTCAGTTGGGCTATTTTGGCCGATGTTTTTTTGATCTCCTCTTGTTTCGCCTGTTTTTCACGTTGTTCCTGTTCCGCTACTTTGATTGCCTGAACTGAGTTTTTGTCGTTTTCCTGAAGGAATTCGTCAAACTGCTGCGCGTCTTGCTCTGAAAAGATGATATAAATTTTTATTTTAACTTAGACAGATTGCATTGAATATAGTAATTATTTTGTCTACTGTATTACGGCCAGTGTTGATTTCGTTCCATGGGTCTTTTTTTAAAAAATTTGATTCCAAAATTGGCAATCAAAAACTGGTCTCAGAATTGCTAAGGTAATTATTATCAAGGACGATTTTTTAACTTTCTTTTTTGACAGGTACCCTGTTATCAGAGAAGTGTGTCCAAAAAGTTTATCTAATTATGTATATATTACTAATGCGGGATCTACTTAACAATTACCCCCCCTTTTTTTAAGAAAAGGGGGGGGGGGGCAATTGTTAAGTAGATCAATATAACGCATTTTCGACCAATCAGATTGCAGCAAAATTAGAGTTCTCAATACAAAACTCTAGCGCTAATTTACTGCTTTTATTAATAGGGGTGGCAATTCTTAAGTAGGTACCAAAGGGTGGGCAATTGTTAAGAAGATCCCTAATGCGAAATTGGCTGGATCTGTTCGTTCAGTAAATGTCTAAATCTATCTATGAAATCCCAAAAACTTGGGATCAAATTAACTCCCTCTTAAGTAGACTATAGTTACAATCCTGCAATTCATTATTCAAATTCTATAGCACTGCGTGTCATATACTACTTAAAAAAGTTCCAATAGTTGGTTGCGAACGATCAGTAACTTCACTACGTAGCCAATTCTTGTTTTCATTTTCCAACGTGCTTTAATACTTTACATGTAGAAGCAAATCACACAAAACGCCGTAACGATAAGTAAACTTACCGCTATTTCAAAAGCTCAACTTCAAGTTGTTTCACTTTTTTGATTTTTTTTTATAATTGAAGAGCGTTTGAAGAGGTCAACTCGAGTTCTTTCTGTACCCCTTGAACAGATTTTGAAATGATTTGAGGTTGTATATTGGATTCAAGTGAACTGCCCTTTGCGGATTTGTTAACATCTTCCTCCTAAAGGCGGATGTTAGTTAACTTGCTCCGCCTGTTCAAATTTGACCCTTTAGCTAACACCACTTTGTGGCTCTTTTCTAGCCCTCCTTCTTTTTTTTCTGACATTCGATTTGCGAAAATCTATTTAAATTGACATTTGATGTTGTTAACCGCAATAAAACGTGTAAATGTGAGCAAGTGAACAAAGTTTTTCACTATTTCTTAGATGCAAAATGAACAACCTTGAAACAAGTTTATAATGCAATTTTAGGAGGGTGGGAAACAGAAAAAGAGCACAACCGAGAAATCAAAAAGCCAAAGCTGCCATTTTAATGCAAAATTAAAAAGATTTTTAGAAATGTCCTTAAGTTATTTCAGGGCACTTTTTCCTCTCCCGATTAAATTTTTTCTCGCTAGGTCCTATTGTACAAAAAAAAGGTATTCAATATTGTTAAACTGTAAAATTAATGCTTAAAAGAGGTGTGAGGAATTCGAGAGGAGAAGGGAACTATTTAAGATTCAACTGCGTGCGAGGGAGTTATAATTATTATGTTCGCCAATCGTTGTTGAAAGGCAGTCCTGTCAAATTTATTTCGTTTCGGAGAAAAATGACTGTGGTTGGTAAAACGGGATAAAATGGATCACATGAGTTAAACCATGACCAGGCATTTCCGCCCAAAAAACCCAGTCATTTCCGCTCCAGAATCCAGTCATTTCCGCCCCAAAAGCAGTCATTTCAAAACTGACTGCTTTTGGGGCGGAAATGACTGTGTTTTTTTTTGGGGGGGGGGGGGGGAATGTTTGGAATGGAAGACGGTGGGACGGAGATGACTGGGAGCCGAGTTAAACTGACCGAGGAACTTCTCGGCCGCCTCGAGCTTCTTCTCCTCGGCGAGTGCTATCTGCTCCAACTTCCTCATCTCGTCACGCTTCACACCTAGAGAGTACTGCACCAGAAACATCTCCCTCTTCTTCGCTATGTACTCAGGCAGGGACTCCTTCTCTATGCTCATCTCTTTGGCCACTGCCAGTGCGTAGTCCCCCTGTTCCCCACCCATGCCACACTCCTAAACAACACACACCCACTATTCTTCTTGCTCATTTGGCTCTTTTCCAGTTTTCCACCCCTCGTAAAATTATAAAGTAAAATGTTGAAGAGTTGTTCATATGACCTCCAGCTCCATGAAAAAATCTTAACTTCAAAACACTATGATTGTGATTTCACTCTTTTTCATTTTCCCCCCGCCTCGCATAAACATCATTTTTATGGTGTAACAGTGGGTTTTAAAAGGTAAAGTATGAACATCAAAAGTGTTTTCGGAACATCAAAAGCAACAATCGGTCTTTGTAATCAAAATTTAATTGCACATTTTCGCATGCGTGGGGAAAAGGAAAGAGAGCCCAATTTCCAAATGACTTTTTGCCTACCTGGTCTGCTTGTTCTTTTAGTGCTTGCATAGCTTCCCTTCGCTTAGCTGCTGCTTTGGTGCCCACTTTAGCAGCATATGTCAACTTCTCGTGCACTTTCAAAGTTTTCAGCTTCGCCTTCTCGTGTTTTTCCTTCTGGCGTTCCCGATCGCGCATTAGAAACACATCTGTATCCACCGGCATAATAAAAGGATTCTTCCCGCCTGTCATATCTATCCCGTCATCCTCGTTCGTTCGCAAACTGAGAGCCGATTGTGTCGCCGGAAACGACACACGACTTTGTCTGTGACTACTGGCTGTGTTGTTGCGAGATGATTTCCGACTTTCGCCTAAAGCGCCGCCACTTTGAGCCCGACTTTTGACTCCGCCGCTAGACGCGGGAGGAGTTTGCGCCACCAATGACATTCTAAGTCTCTCTGCAATGAGTCAGAAGTCACTTTTCTACCAAAAGTTAGAATAAACAGATCAAAGTTTTGGCGATTTAAAGCAATTAAACTTCGAAAAGTCCTTAAATTTCCAAATATTCTCAAAAACCAAATATTTAGCTGATTCAACTCTGTAAATCAAATTGTATCCATAAATTCATGGGTGTATGAAATTTATTCACGAATAAGGAAAAATAATCTGCGTTCATTAATTTTAACGCACGTGCAATTCAGCACCAAAAAAGTATCGTTTTGTCTTTGCATACGTTGAAAATTATATTACTTAGCTGTTTATTTGTATTTACTCTATGTTCGTTCAACACGGAATAGTACCAACGATTGTTTTATACTAACTAAAAGCAGACTAGTCGTCTTGTTGTCTTCACTCGAAGTTACGGTGGTGAAGTCGCAGAAGAAAAAATCAAAATATCTTGTAAGTAATTTGAATGTTTTCAATATATTAGGTCCCACTACCCCCTATATTTCAAATTTTTAAAAAGCGAGGTGGAAAAAAGCAAGACATTGTGCGCCTAGTATTGAGAAGGTGTGAGCTGAACTTCAAAACTAAAATTCGCAGGTGAGGAGAGGGAAGAAAAAGCCCAGTAATTTCTGCAAACAAAATAAAGGTGAAATGAGTCGATTATCGTTTAGTTGTTTTTTTCTTGTTATTTGATATTCATCATTGAGTATTTGACATATGATAAGTAAAACTATTTGAAGCAATATAAGCATATCAAAAAGAGAAAAATATTGTTTTCAAGGCTTCATGGACATTCAGTTAAAGCTTATTTAGAGTGCCAAAAAATCTTCGTTAACAGCTTAAGGATTTTGATTTTTTGGATTAAGAGCGGAACTTAAAAGAGTTATACTTTTATTATTCATTAAAATACTACGAGAAGCAGAAAAATCGTTCACGCTCTCTCTTTTAATTTGTGTTTAACAGTCTACGTTAACAATTTCCTAATGCAATGCAACTTGGCATGATGAACAAACTAACAATTGTGATCACATTTGTTCTTCATACCTAGCATTCTATCATAATCATCATCTTTTTTTGTTTAGACACCTCTTCTTGTTCTCAGAGGTGTCAGTTGATTTATTTTCGAAATCCTTTTTTGGTTAGTTTCGAATGCCGTTTTTCGTAATTTGTGGGTTTGTGTTGTTTCCAGCTTTTCATTTTGTATGATTTGTTAATTTGCACGTCATCGTACATTAGTCACCATAAAAGGCTCGAGCTTGTTAAAAACATAAGATTTTTTTTGATCTGACCATTGAAAATGGGGAAGAACTTCATATTCGGTTGTGTTTCGTTTTTTTTTTTCTTTTTTTTTTCAACTTTTTATTTTTCACGCAAAATCAAGTACCACAAGAAGTCACCGGACTGGATCGAGTGATATATCATATTAAAGCCCTTTCCGTCGCTATTCGAACGACATTTCATTTTTTTAAAAAAACAATTCCCAAATGTCGAGAAATACCTGTTTACACTTGCGAAGCAAAGTGTTAAAGTAAGAACATTCTTTTTTTTCCAACGTAAGTCTCAAATATTGTTACGACTAAGTCGCAATTATTGTTGCGATTTAAAACAACAATAATTGCTGCATCGAATTGGCAATAAGATATTTAGATATTTTGTTGCACCTTTACTGCTTCTTGATTACATGTGCTTTGACATTCGAATAGTTTTAAGTTTGCCCAGTTGATGCAATTTTAATTCATCAAGTGAACCGAAGAAAGCTATTTGGGCTCTTTTTCCTTTTCCCCCCACCTGCAACTTTTTATAAATAAAATTACTGTTCGCATTGTCCGATTGTAATGAAAATTGACATGCAAATAAATTAAGCCATGACAAACATATTTGGTCTTCATAATTAACCTTGTAAAATCACTCGTTAGACCATAGAATTGATGCTCATGTGAGGTGGGGGGAAAAGGAAAAAGAGCCGCTATTTGTTTCAAACAACATAAAAATAATAAAGTCTCGATTTCAGAAATTTTTCAACTCAATATGTCTTGCAATTTTTTGAAATGCATAATTTAAATGCATAACTTTTTGATTTGCAAATTCTTACATGCAAAATTGTATTTTTTTTTTGTATTTGATGCTAATTTTGCTGCATCGAATTGGCATATGTAGCTGCGTTATTGGTGGCTAGTTTTTGGGTATTTTAAGCATCCGTGGCTGAATGGTTAGTGCGTGAGACTCAATTTGCTAGGTCGCAGATTTTTGCTGATTCGTGTTTTTGCTAAGCCTCCAGTTTTTACAAACTCGAGGCTCATTCTACTTTTTTTTATGTCACTTAATAGAGTTGGTCCTGTTCTCGCAAGTGTTTCACTTTTTGGTCCTGTTCTCGCAAGTGTTTGCGAAGCGCAGCTTTGCCTCTGTGTTAAAATTTTCGATTTTTTGTCTAATTTTGAGGAGTGAGCAGGCTTACATTAGCTTATATACGCTTAATTTAAGCCTTGAAAGTTTAGTTTTACTCAAGTTAGTTTTCGTTCTTTTTTGTTCAGATCCTTTTATCACACCACGAAAAAAAACGACGCTAATTTGACAAAAAACTATTTTCGTACTTTTTTAAAACTATGATAGCGAGTGAGTTCACAGGTGAAATATCGAGATCAAACATATAATTGATAGCCTAATTAGCTCGCTTGTCATTTTCCATAACAAACAGGCAATGAGAAAAATAATATATATGAGCGGGTCAAGAAGAGACAAAAATTGTTTTCATGGCTTTATTTTATAAATTCTTATCGGAGTGCAATACTCTTTTCTTCAAAACTTCTTTACAACTGTGTTTTTGTATCAATGTTTGTATCTGTGTATTTGTATCTGCGTGATTGTATCAAAAAAATGGCTAGGTTTTTTAACAGTAATGAACGTAGTGAATACTCTTATATAGGACTTCTTAATTTTTCCCAGGAAAAAACTTTTAATATTGCTCACGCTGAATTTATTTATTGCGGTTTGATGTCCTTTTAAGTTCAGTTCATTTATCTTGTTGACAGGAATGCAAACACCACTATCGATCTGCAAAAGTTTTCTTTTTTGATACTTTTCTCATTGTTATCGATTTTTTACCATGCTGAGGGGAGGTGGTTAACATAATAAGATAGCGCCTATAAGCCTTTTATCGATTCCTTCACCACCGACAAAACTGGTTTTTGCGTGTGAACTTTATTTTATAGCTGTTTCTTAGTTTTTCACCTCTATGTTTCTGTTTCAACAAATTGAAAAAAGGGGAGGAACGTATACGTTTGAGTTTTAGTTTTTTATCCACGCGGAATCAGCTACCACAATGTTGATTGTTGAGTGATATCAAAACAATTTGAGAGAGTTGAGTGACGTATCATATAAAAGACATGCCAGTCGTGATTCGAACGACCTTAAAAAGTTTTTCAAAAGTTTTCCCTGTGTTGAGACAAACCGGTTTGAAGTTTTTTTTAAAATCGAAATTCGATCGAGTAATGCAAGCGAGCTGCTTATTTATGCTTAATTCAGGCTAATGCTTAATTCAAGCCGTTTTCAATAGCTTATGCTGAAATTTTTTTGCTCGACTGAAGTTATCTTATGGAGGTTCGTACTGCCATTTTGGGAATCAAAAGCTTAATGATTTGATGATTTTTTATTTTTTTGTAGTCATTTTTTGTCAAAACCTGTTGACCTGCTTGCTTTTATTATGATCATTAACGAATTTGGCTAAATTATAGTTATACGTCTTCTTTTTTGTCACACCTCGCAGAAAAAACTACACTAATTTAAAAAAATATATATCTTGCAGTTTTTTAAAGACTATGGTCGGAACATTCTGTGCTACTTGCACAGTAACCGGCTATCCTTGTTTATAACAAAAAATTGTCTCAAAATTGATCACTTGTAATTATTTATACACAAAAAATGATTTCTAACACGCAGCCATAATAATTTGTTAAATGTTTATTATTTCTAATTTTCGCGAAAATTAGCTGGAGGAGCCTCGTTTGTACAAGGTTTTTTTTAAATGAAAAATGTGTTAGGAATTATTTAATAACCATTCATGCGAAATTTCATATCTTTTGTGAAATTTTATAATGAGTTTGAAAAATTAATATCTCATGTGATGAGAACAAAAAAGAGCCAAAAAATTGTAATTTGGTTTTTTCCGGGTCTTTTTTTCTTTTTTTTTGTGACATAGGGCTTATGAGACTATTTGAAATGACTTTCGACGGTTTAAACTGTCTTATATCTTTCTAAGTTTGAACCTATTCTTGCAGGCAGATTCCCGTACGAACAACTTTTAAATAATTGTGTTTTTTTTGTTTTATGAGGAGGGTGGAAAAGAGCCGTCATTTCTATACCATACTAAAAGTCCCACTGGTCTTAGTTAATATTTATTACAATTTCGTGACATTATAATTCGAAAGTTTCTCAGCTTTTCGATTTTTTTCTTGGATTTTTTCTCTTCAAATTTACCTACCCAAGTTTTTGAGCCGCTGTGAATCTTATGTTTTAATTTTCTTCTCTTTTTTCCCGCCACATCTGGATTTCGTGTAATGTTCCAATTTGAATCTTATAAAAATTGGCATAGTGAAAAACTGGCCTCAATTGTTGGAGGACGTTTTTTTTTGGAGGACAAGTTCCGAAACGCTTTTCAAAACAAATTTTGGTGTGGGAGGTGTAAAAATGGAAATAATTTCACTGGTTTCAAGTTTTAAGGGGAGAATTTTGAAAATGAAATAATATTATTTTAACTTAAAATTAAAGTTATAATTTTCTACCCTAATTAGTTACACTTGCGACTAGCAAGCGTTATCAAATCGGTTTATAGACTCTTTGCAGGTTAACAGTTTGCGCAACAAAACCGTTTGAATCATTTGGTAATATGATTTCTAACAAATTCGAATAGCTTATCCGGTATGCTTAATATACTTATACTGCGATGGAAAAATTCCTACGTTCGATTCCATCAAGGACCTGTTTCTCACAGAAAATTTTACGCTTCAAAAATTTGTCGACCCATCATCTGACAGGCTAAACGCCTTTGACGTTCTCCCTAGTGTATTTGTTTGCATATACTCGGAAACTAATTTAATTATTATTATAGTATCGTTGCCTCATTGCCGTCTTTTGTTTTTTAACTTGTGATGTCACCAATTTGATTGTAATATAAACTGGTTTTGATTTTATCCTGTAATTCGTTGTTACATCAAATTTTTCATGTTTGTTTCTTGCTCAATTTTTTTTTGGCCAATGTGATTTCGGCTTGTGTTGTATCAGCTTAGTG